AATCCACTCTGGTCACGGATTCATCGGCTCTTTTGATGCACCATGATCCGGGTGATCTTAGATCACTGATGCTGATCCAGATCATCCCAAAGGAACGCACCCTTAGATTGGCATATGCCATATATCTATGGAAATGGCATGTATTGCCCTTATAAATATGTCACAGAAGCTTCCCATCGAGAACAAGTAGTGGGAAAAATCCGATTCCAGAAACCAACATATCATCAGTGCGAATTTTGGAACTTCACTTTGAACTATTGAAGTCATTTTGTTTTAGCAGCGCAAAACAACACACAAAGTGTAATGTACACGAACGCAACAATTTCATGAGGGATGCAAAACAAAAAAAACAATCTGCTAAAGCCTCCCCAGTAAAAGCAACCAAAAAGCCATCAAAAGAGAAACCATTGAAAGTTTCAATCAAACCAAGACGGCTTAACTAACTAACAGCATGAAAGTTGTTAGGATTCAAAAGATTTGTTACGCTAAGAATCTTTACAACACACAACGAGATTTCCTTTTCACTTGAAACAAAATAAACAACGATTTCACTGTTCAGATCACTGTGCTGTAGTATAAACCAGCAATCAAGACTGTTCACATTGTTACTAAGTAAACAAATAAACACCGATTTGTCCAGATTCCATTGCCTAGCAGTCAGTTGTCTGTACAAGTTTTACTTCTTGTAAACACAAGTAAGTCCCATGGGCTCCTTTGCCGCCGCTTCCTCGGCTTGTTTCTCTTCAGTACTACTAGTACTAGAACTTGTACTTTTAAGAGTGGTTGCCTTTTCCAGGGGGTGTTCATCCATCTGTCCACAAAGCAGCGCAGATTGACACTCCTTTTCCTCAGTGCAGTTTCTTCGTGTGTGCCCGGATTTCATGTGACACTTTCCACAGACTGTCAACATTGCATTCAAAGAAACAGCCTTGTAAAGTTCTTGTTTTACCACAATTGCTACTAATCTCGCAATCCGATTGGCCAATTTGCCGTTGTCGATAAGAGTCCAGACAACGCTGCTCGCGCGTGTCGTGCAATTCCTTTTTCAGCTCGCGCTCTGAAAAAAACATTTTCTTTGACGTTGATATTGTGGCAAAAAACAAATCGAAATGTGATTTAGCGTGGTCTGTACTCTTATCGACAACGATACGTGTCATCACAGTGGTCAAAATGTTGTGGACTCACTCGGCTGCGCCTCGTTAGTTCACAACATTTTGACCACTGTGATGACGCGTATTGTTGTGGATAAGAGTACATACCACACTAAACCACATTTGATTTGTCAATTCGAAGTTTTGTTTTTGGGTTTTCGCGTTCTCCAGTTCTTTTCTTACTTTATCTATCTCGAGTTGTTTCGCATTAGCATACGATCCACAGGGTTTAAAGCTGACTTTGTAGGTTCAAGATCGGTTGTTGAAGACGAATTGACTCGAGCGGGTGCTCTGGGCTGCACGGTCGGCGCTGTACAAGTTACGTTTTTCCTTTCAGTGGCGAGTCTAAAGCTACAGCTTGGAGTTTTACTCGTGTAAATTCTCTATCGGACCATAAACGAGCACACTGCCAGAGCTGTGCGAACGATCGTTCGTCCCCAAAAGTTGAAATTGACCCAGTTATCTTCGTCGTGTAAATAACGCAGTCTAATGGTCGTTTCATTCTAATAATTCAGTGTCGTGCAGCGACTTGTTATGTCCTCAACTAAATCTTTAAAACGGTACTCAGCAGCATTAACCAGACGACTCTAAACCATTAAGGTTATCCACTAGCCTTTCACGCACTCAACTTTAACTTGAAACTTCATGTTTGATGTTGGAGCTTTACGAAAAAAAAACATATAATCCACAGTGAAGGAAAGTACAACCGAGCCAAAACGGGCCGCCTAAGTGCCGAATCGAGTCTCTGCAGAAAGCTTTCCGCGCGCTTTGTTTCCATTGGATACATTCTCGTTGCCATCAGAAACGGAACTTTTTGCGGAAACCGTGCTTGGTGTCGTGCTCAACTGGGAAGCGTAGTATTTTGACTCGATGAGAGATTAAAAGTAATTTGTTTGTTAATATCTAATTTGTGAACTATTCGTTCATCTAAGTATATTTATTCTTTGTACTCACAAAGTTATTTAAATGTTTTTCGTACACTATACTAGAAAGTGTAAGTGCGTAATAACATGGTAAATTCCGTTTACTTTGTGATCTAGTAACATTTGTAGAGTGATCCAGAGAGATCGTGAAAACATGTTTTCAAAGGCGTCAAATCACGGTCATAAATCGTGTTTCTGTACACAATCCCAGAGGGTTTGTACAGTTCTAATAAAATTAAATAGTTCTTTGAAAGACGAGTATTGTATTTGTTATGACGAGGTTTGGAAGGAGTAGGGTTAACAGGTTAATAGCAGGCAGAAATCTGAGTGAATGTAAAGGCAGGCCAACAGATTCTACTGCCGTCATATGCCGGCATGTAATTCCATTTCTTCAGAAAGAGACGTCCGCTATTCAAGGGCAGCATTAAGCTCATAAATGGCTGGCCCCAAGGAAAACATTGAGATTTTTTTCCCCGGGACCCTCAAAAGGGAAGCATCGAAGGGAAAACAAAACTCAATGTTTCCTGTGGGGCCAGTCATTAAGTGTTTTGTTTTACCTTGAACTCGCATATGGAACAAACTGCGCAAAAAGTATTTGCTTGACTCCAGTGTGGCATAATTTTACTGCTCGTCCTTATCGCGCATAATTTCGCGGGTAATACTGCGTGCACGCAGAACGGGAGCGTAAGGCGGAGTCATTTGTTATATGTTCTGCCAGTACAATGTATCTCTCCTGGTATCTTTTTGAGGCTTCAAGCAAACAAACTTCCTTCTTAGTAGGATTACAGTACGAGTTGTAAAGAAAAAAAAGGGGAACTTGAGGAATGGTGGATTTGAGTTAAATAAAGAAAAATTAGGGTTGAATTATTGGAGATTTGACAGAAGCTTTTTAAGATAATGATTGTTCGATGGATACCAATAGACTACTCTTAAAGAAACTCGATCTCGTTCTGGGATTAGTGGGTTTGTCCTTGTTTTGGCCTTTTACTCTTTCATCCCCCTCGTTTATTATCTACAACAATGAAAGAAACCGCTGCAGCCGGATTTAAAACTGGTGGGAGTTGTGCTTGCCACCGTTTGACAGGTTAAGACGGCAGAACACAGTTTTTGATATCTGTGTTGCATTCACCTTCTTCTCTAAAACCCTTGATCCCTCGGTCGCCAAAAATTGCAGGAAGCAAGTTAACAACACAAACTTCAGTTTTTTGATAGTTATTCTAACGTATGTGACATGAATAAGTTTTTTTTTGTAACATGAACAATTATTTGCAGAAAATCTAGTCATTAGATTTTCTTTATAATTTGCATAAAACAAGCTTGAAACGATGCTCAGAAGTTAACACTATTTTAATAATAATTTAAAAAACTACAAGACGTTGGCGCCTCAACTAGTGTGCTACAATGGTTTAACAGCTATCTCACAAATAGATATCAAGTTGTACGAATTCACTCCACTGTTTCNTGACAGGTTAAGATGGCAGAACACAGTTTTTGATACCTGTGTTTCATTCACCTTTTTCTCTAAAACCCTTGATCCCTCGGTCGCCAAAAATTGCAGGAAGCAAGTTAGCAACACAAACTTCAGTTTTTTGATAGTTATTCTAACGTATGTGACATGAATAATTTTTTTTTTGTAACATGAAAAATTATTTGCAGAAAATCTAGTCATTAGATTTTCTTTATAATTTGCAGAAAACAAGCTTGAAACGATGCTCAGAAGTTAACACTATTTTAATAATAATTTAACAGAGAGATGTTTAATTATTCCTTGTTGAATTTCCTTCGTTAAAGTTCAAATTTTTTTCAATACTCCAGTTAATGATTTCCTAAAATTCCAATGAGTGGTTCTCGAGGAATAGGCGTATTTCCGAGAATTCAATCGCAACTTTTCGACTTACTACGCATGCGCTGCATTTAACCGGGTTCTTTTGGTAACAATGAAAAAGCTGAGAATTGCTTGTTTCTTTGCGACGTTACCTTTTCTAACATACCTTTGTAATAGAAGACTAAAACCATCAATACACTGTGTTAAATTATGAAGAAAAATAGCTCAGATAGCGCGGTCATTGAGCAAATAAAATGATAGCTGTATACGCCATGTTTGTGTTTTTGCAATCCTTGTGCGCGCGCCGAATTACATTAGCAAGAGTGCGCGCAATCTCTTTCCCAGAGTCGTCGTTCCCCTTGACCAGCGGTCGGAAAACGAGAGCTCTGGGAGCAATCATTTTGAAA